CTGCCATCCGTGTCGTGAGTCCAACGCCAAGCTCTTTCATATAATCATCAAAATGCTCGCCATCAACCTATTTTGAGAAAAATTAGTATATTAAATAAAATAAAAGTGCAAAATATATTATACATACATAATCCCAGCTACCTTTGAGTGCTTGAATACCGCTACTAGCCATTGAATAGTTTTGAATTAAGACGGTATATGTAGCTTATATAACGGTACGAACAGAAAGATGCTGAATAAGACGTGCGCACCTTTTTATATTTCTTTGTAAAATAAAATTATCTAGGGTTCAAGATTATGCAAATAGAAAAGATCATAAAAGATAGCTATAATAAGTGTATGGTGAAAAAAAAAGATTTAGTTGATCATCTAAAAACCAAAAATATGTGTACATAAATCAATCATGTGGTTGATACATATCGTTTATATTTATCAATGGTAATAAAGATAAAATTTGTTTTAGATTTATACGAAGTAAAAATGAGAGAGCATTAAGCAAAAAATCAGTTTTTCATATAGAGAATGATTTGAATATGAGACAAAAATAACATTTTTATTGCATGCATATTCAGAAAGTCACAATTTTTTTCGTGCTTGATGGAGAAAATGAAAATTGATTGAATTTTATTGTATCGAAACATATGTTAACTCTTTAGCCGAGACACACAAGACAGGTCAATAAATACTTAAATGGTTAATGGCAATTTCTTTTCACAACGCTACTTGAATTATATTTATTGTCATTTTCAAACATTTGAATATAACTTCTGTTTAGATTAGTATGGACAATCAAAAAGTAATGAGAGTGGTACTGTAATTCTTTATAAAAAACTTTAAGAAACTTTCTCTCTATATATTTTGATAGGAAAAAGAATGCTTTATTTTTCTATGCTATTTGATCATACTTCAACTACTATAATAATAATAAAATTTCGATAAGATCTACTTTTCTATCATATGGGACAGTTATAAGAATGTCTATTTAATGAATAGTTTCTGAATAACTTTTGATAGAAGTTAGCTAGAGAGTTGCATTTTTTAATGTTTGGAAGAGGAGATGAAGATGCATCCAATCGTATATTATACGCTTTCTTAGTATGTTGTCTGAAGTTTGTTTAATCAATTTTCTAAGTGTGAAAAAATGGTTTCTTATCAAAAAAAGAAACAGCAAAAAAAAAACGTTTTTTTTTTTAATTTAAATTGCCAGAAAAATAAACTTAGAGCTTCGACTAGAATACCTATAACTCCTGAATGATTAATTCTTAACATCTGAGCCTTGTGCAGTTTTGTAGATCATTCATTGACAGTTTGAATGCACATCTGAAAATTAAGAATTCACGGTACACACCTCACTGAGAAGGTTTGTATTCAAAGAGGTCTATTAAAAACGTTAAAAAAGTCATGTCAAAAAATCTATAATTTACGATTCAGTGCAGCTTCATCTCCTCTTTCAAACGATAAAAAATGCAGCTTTCTAGCTAGCTTCTATCGAAAGTTATTCAGAAACTATTCACTATATAGACGTTCTTATAACCATCCCATATAATAGAAAAATAGGTCTTATCGAAATTTTATTGTTATTATAGTAGTTGAAGTATGATCAAATAACATAGAAAAATAAAGCACTCTATTCTCTATCGGACTATATAGAGAGAAAGTTTCTTGAAAGATTTTTATAAAGAATTACAGTATCACTCTCACTACTTTTTCACTGTCCATAGTATATTTAATCTTAAGACAACAGGAAAACTATATCATTTTACTTTAAAAAAAAAAAATACAATTACTCTTGTGTACCAAAATTTAAATTGATAGTTAAACATCTTTCACACATTTCACAATAAAGACTAATTGAAAACAAAATTAATGTGACGCATCTATGCTTATATTATTCTTGTTTCGAAAATGTTTTCAGAAATACCAGAAATTAGTCACAAAGTCAAACAAATTGTGAATAAGATCTCAGTTGTAAAGAACAAACACAATGTAATTGAGGTTACACTCTGTTTAGCAATTATAATAATAAGTATTTCTATGAAAATTTAATCATCTTGAACAAAATTAATTAATAATTCTACTAAAAACTTTCAGCGTTTATAGCGCTTTTCACTGTAACCATTTTGCCAAACTACTTGTGCCTTAAAAAACAAAAAATTCTTCAAATTTTTTTCTGCACCATTTCAATCAATTGTTTTCGATTATTTATTTTACTAAGACGTGATCGAAAACAAAAATCTAAGCGACACTCAGGTACTGCATGAATAGGTACAGCAATCGATATTTAATTTAGGTTCAGTTTTGAAAGACAGTTTGAAATTTATTTACGTTCTGATTCACCATCAATCATACAATAATACAGAATCATTTTTGATTTGTTCATTTTTCCAAAGAGCTGAACTGCTGCTCGTTGTGATAACGTCATGCATTCGATAAAGCGAAAATTGCTTTACAACTATAATAATATAAAGTTCTGAGTATTTTTAATCCAACTGAACTATTGAATCAACTTTGTAAAGTATGTATTTTCATCTTTATGTTTTAAAATCATATGAGACTAACAATCTAAGTCTCTTACGGATACATAGCTCTGATTTGTATGAAACTTATGGGGTTTGTACAGTTACGAAAACTGGTACTTTTAATTAAAAGAAATACTTGCCATTTGTTACTTTGTTAAGTGGTGACATGTCATTCGTTAACAAAGTTTAATATTGATAAATGTTTGAGGAACAAGTTCTTATAGATATTTCTCTGAAAATCCTCAAAAATACCTAATCGCATCAAGTTTCCATGGAAAAGATGAATCTGATGTTAAATTTTCAACCTCACCGTGTACAGTTGATCTAAGATTAGTATTTAATCATTTTACGTTCAAATATAATGTACACATACTAAGTCAAATAAAACAGTATTAGTTACTTGGATCACCTTAATTTTAATTATGGGTATGGCCAGCTAACTCTGCTACCGGAGTGAAATTCCGTAACGTTTTTCGCTTATTTTGTTTCCTCGATAAATATCAGGCAGTAGCACGTAAAGAATTGCGAGACGTCTTAAATTAAAGAGAAAAGTCTTGTACATATTCTAAGATATTTTTCGCTTTTGGAACGTTTGTCGTTTCCAAGATATAATTAAAAAACTGATAACTACTTTTCAATTCTGAAAATTATTACTTTTTCAAAAGTGGTGTTCAATTCTTTTGTTATATCTTGGAAACAACAAATGTTCCAAAAGCGAAAAATATCTTAAAATATGTACAAGACTTTTCTCTTTAATTTAAGACGTCTCGCAACTCTTCACGTGCTACTACCTGATATTTATCGAGAAAACAAAATAAGCGAAAAACGTTACGGAATTTCACTCCGGTAGCAGAGTTAGCTGGCCATACCCTTATATCGAAAATATATCGTTTTGTCACGTATTTTAGATTGTTATTTTTGGGCATGTAATTCAACTGTCTTTGTATATATCGACAAAAAATAATCGTAAAACATAGCAATCAAACTCATAGTGTTTCTTCATATATTAATTTTGATCGTCACTTAAAAGACTTCCGACAGTTTATATATCATATATTCTATATAATAGTGTAGGTTCATTGAAATTTAGATAAAGAAATGAAAACAAGAGCAGATCTCAAAAGGTAGAGTCATATTTTACAATGCCAATATTCACATAAGTGTCATCTGAATCCCTAGAGAATTTTAATTTGAAAATCTTCTATCGTAGGTGCTTTATACATGTTTATCTTGAAACCTGTTGAATTAAGTAAAACACTTGATACTTTGTACATCTATCTTGAGAATGCTTCGTCATTGATTAAAGAAATACCTAAAAAATTTTCTACCAAGATATTTAACAGTAATAAACTTTTCGAATCACTGACATATGTTAACACTGAAAAAAGTACCGAGAGGAAAGCATATTTTTAACTCAAAAATCACCATCTTTCGTAACTCTATAAACTCGACAAATTTCATGTAAATCGAAGTTCAACATTTGTAGGAACTATTAATTTTCGCTTCATGTAACTTTAATATTCTAGAGAAATAAACAATGGATTGAAATTATGCAGAAAGGTTTGTGAGAAGTTTTGAGTCTTTCAAGATACAAATAATTTTGAGTTGATCTCACTCAAAACCGACAAATATTCGTAATCCTAATTCTTTCAGGAAAAAAATGGTTCGAATTAAAAATCCTGTAGTTGCTGAAACTTTTAGTACAATTATTGATTACTTTGTCCAACATGATTGAGTTTTCATAGAGATATCTTTATAGTCAATGTTTTATTATACATATCTTAAAACAATTAACAACGAATTATTTTGAAACAAATCAATATAATAATCTACAAGTGATTAGTAATTTCCTGTTTGGAAGAAAACCCATTATCATCCTATTTTTTCCTTGTCTAACTGTCAGTTCTTGTTTTTTTTTGTTACAAAAAAGTCATTCTATCAAGATAGCAATGTTCGACGTTTTTTTTCACTCATCTATTGTATTTGCATGCCATATGGCATGAAAATAATCTATTCTTATGGTTTTACTCCACATAAATTATAAGTACTCAAACTGAAACTTATTATATATGTCAACGAAGAAAAACAGAACCATATAATTTGAATAAAACTATCGAGCAACAACTTTTTTTGTTCAATATTGAATATTCATATCAAGATTCAAAGTCTTCAATGCAAAATTTTTTGTTTGACGTTTCTGTTTTTACTTTGGACTTATATGACAATAAAGTACAAAGGATAATTCGTGGAATTCTGAAATTTAAGATTCCTTTAGATTTCGTAGAATTCCAGAATTCCGTCGTTTACTCCTTGATAAAGTATCAACAAGATTTGAAAGTTATCAGTACTCCTAGTCGAGATTATACTTGACTTTTCTTCTTTTCTTTTTTTTTTCATGCATTATTATCATCATCCACAAAAAAAGAGAATTAACATATATCTTTTTTTTTACTTGCTGTTATTTTTTTTAGTTTCAACATTATGCCAGCAATGTCTTTGCTCGATTTACCATCAGAAATAATTTTCTTAATTTTCGAATATCTTCATAAACAACATATAGTTTATTCATTCTTAGAATTAAATGATGATTTTGCATTAACGGTGAAATGTTTTATTAGAAAACAATTTGATTTAACAAAAGTTAATGATGATATTATTTTTCAATACTGTTTATCAACTGTTTTACCATTAATTGGATCTAATCTTCGTTACTTATCAATCGGTTATCCATATTGTTTATCAACATATATTAAATCAATAGAAACTTATTGTCCTAATTTAGATACATTGACTATTTATTGTTGTTCTCAAAAAGAAGACATTCGTCATTATGTCGCTCATTTAATACATCATGAACTTACATCATTACATTTTATTTTTAATCATAGAATTATTGGTCAACAAATTAGTCTTCGTTTACTTGATAAATCCAGAAATAAAGAATTTCAAAAAAATTCAATTGCATCATCATCACTTATATTACATTTATCATCAATGAATGATCTTATTTTATTAAAACGTTATTCTGAAAGTGATTATCTTCCTAATGGTTTATATATGATTGAATGTATGTTAAATGGTGAATGGTTAACATATAATAAAGATGATTTATGTATAATGTCAAAAAAATTTCATTATGAATGTATTTTTTCTATAAAACAAATTGATAATGATCAATGTTGTCTTGAATATGAATTATATCATGAACACACACAACATCGTTTAACAGTTTTAAAATATGATGAAGATGAAGAATATTGGATATCATCATCTATTCTTTCAACACATCGAGAAGAATCATTTTGTTTATGTTCAACATTTACTTTTGAAAAAATTAATAATGAAAATCAATTTTATATTCGACCCTGTTATTCAAATGCTAAACATTTACAAGTATTAGGAAAGCGTATTATTGTATCAGTTTGTAATAATGATAGTATATTAAGTCATCATTTTAGATTTCATCATATTTCGTACGAATAGTTACTTTTAGATAATAAACGTTATTCATATTAAATAAATACTAGTACTAAATGTCAAATCTTTTCATAGGATATTATGTTACTAAAAGCAAATACTCGTGCTCTACAATGTACAATAAAACACAGTCACTGTTGCTACGATGGTATTCAAACAATTAATGTTTTCAAATTTTAGTTCTATGACGCTATTGAACTAGAATTTTTTTACTAATTCATGAAATATATCGAACCTCAAAGTGTTACATTTGTGAACATTAAAATTTCGTGCAAATTCATATTGTTTTTGCTTTTTCTATTTACAGAAACTAAACAATAAAATTTTATATATAAGATATTGATTCATAATATCCGATGTGCGTGTGTACAATAGAGCCCGTTGAATTCGCTTCAGACCTAGCCAAATGCACATCCGACCATTTTGAACTCGGTAGTCTCTTAGTGTATACTACTCATATAGACCATCCAACAATTACTAAATTAAATGAACTACGAGAGATCAATTTTTGTTAAACGATAAATCGTGTATTTTATACATTTAGAAAAAAACTATTACGTGTTTCCTCTTGAAAATATCGAAGTATGATGGAACAAATAATAAGTATAGTGGAAAAAATACTGAAACAGAGAAATATGTCTATTAAATTGTGCTTATTTTCTTTCGCAAGTTCTCATCTGTGACAAACTATTAATTACAAAAAATCAATTTTTTTCTTCATGATGTATAAACTTATCTTATGATGCAACAGTTTTCAGAAAAATGTGTCAAGAAAAAATTTTTTTTTGACTTATTCAATATAAATTAATTTTATAGCTGGTTTTTATTTCACACAAAAAGAAAGGTTGTGAATATCTTTCGATTTCAAATGGACAAAAACATAATTACAATAACAAGTCGAATGAATATTGTTTTAATCTTATGTAATATTACCAATAGCACTTTATCTTTACTCTACTTGGTAAAGTAAAGTTAAAAAATGTCAATGTTTTTAAAGTCTATATATGAAGCATGTTGTCGTCTAACTTCACCTTTTCGAATCAAAATAAAGATAACGGCCACTTCTTTTTAAAATTATATCGCGCTATATAATGTGCAACAGTCGTTATCAGCTATAACATACACACTATTCTTTATTCAAGAACAGCCATAAGTGTGTTTATCGTTTTGAAAGTAGTTGTGATAAGCAATCTCATCGTTGTTGGATTGATTTCAATAAAACATGTTAAAAAAAAAACGTACATTTTTTTACATTTCAATCGTTTAATATTATTCCAACAGAACTTATTGAAACGATTTATGCGAGTTAATCATATGGATGATTATACAACTTATTTTTTCATCAATTCTATGAATAATAAGAATGAAAATCAAAATGCATTCGATGAAATTATTAACAAAAAGTGTTTTGAAAAAATATGCTTTGTATTTAATGTGAATGATCAATACTCAATTAAATCTTACATTCTTATTCAATAAATGATATATTCAAGTTTTACTCTTGATTAACATGAAATTATTAATGATGTTTTTTTTGTATTGTAAAATTACGTAAGATAAATAATATTTTAACACAATGAAATTAAGTAAATGTGATAAAAAAACAAAAAGAATATTGATGTTAAAATAGGTTTTTATTCATCAAAACTCGTTTCAATAGTATATTTAATTATCTTCATTGATATGATCAATAATCAGGCTCATGTCATACACATGTTCTAAACAATGCTATTTACATTCTAATCGTTCACATGCTATTCCTTCATTTAAATAATTCAAATGAAAGCGAAGACATAGACTATACAAAAAATGGCTAAGTGATACTTGTTATTATTATTGTCATGGCCATTGAAATCGACTTAATGATTGTAATAAAATTTAATTATAATTTTCTCTCAAATTTATTTACTGGAATTCGACTTTTATTAATCGTGTACTAGTAGAAAAAAAACCGATGATTATCATATTGATTATCGTTTTGGCGCAAATGAACGTCGTACTATACTTCGACAACAATTTATAAATGTAGTTAACATAATGAAATTAATAATTATGTTGAAACTATTTTAATGTAACTATTAGATCAGATTATGTTTACAATAAGATAAAAGATTGTTCACACGGTGATACATATTATCAATATACATGAAAGAATAGATCCTATAGATTGAAACAAAAATGATTTGGTCAAATAATTGATGATAAACAAGATGATGAAGGTTAAAATTTTGCAATGCTTTGATACTTCTTACTAACAATCGTTTTACTTTATTAATGTTAGTTTCGATTATCGTTTTCTTTCAATAATATCTGTACAATAGACGATCAACTGCTATATTCGAATTCAAAATAAAATTTACTCTAACGAAATATTAGGATTAAAAATTGAATGAATGTTTATTTTCCTGTTAGTAATTATAGAATCTACTGTGAAAAATAATGTGAACGTCTTAATATTTTCCAACGAGTTGAAAAAATAGGTATGTTCGGTCAACATTTGATTTAGTTTCCTTTTGTTATCTATTCGATGAAAATAAACAAATGTTAACGCATGAAGCAATGCATTAAAGATCTTTTCATTGAAGTATCTCATCCAGTAAAATAATTATCAACTAATGGCTTCACAATCTACAATAAGTAAAAAAAGTCCTTCTTTTTTATGCTTATCGAAACACATATCATTCTATTATAAACTTACACCTTTATCATGATCTTATTAGGTTCATTTTTCGATATTTTTTTAGCTACTGTTGCTGTTTCTATATCTCGAAGACTCAATATGAAATTCAACAAAATCTTGTCAAGAATTAAGTAATTATTCACATTGTTTTGCATTTGAATGAAGGTTGACTCGAATCAATATGTGTTCGAACAAGCTCAATAGAACAATATAAAACTCTGAATTGTTTTTGTAAATGCTTAAACATTAATTATCTATAATAACAATGCATTTTCTCTCTTTTCCTCTCTCTCCATTCTTGATAGTATCGATTCTCTATTGTCAAATTCCATAAAATACTTGTTATTCAATTCATTGAAATCTTCTCATTATTTGAAGTATCCAATGTTTATTCAATAAATTATAAATGATATTAGTTAATCTTTCTTGAATTATTTTTCAACATAAAATTATGATTTATATTATATAACTATCCAAATTCGATGCATATATCATTATTTACATATTAATTTAACTTAAATGAATAAAAATTATATAAAAACGTATTAAGTTCTATTATTTATCTAATATGTGAAAAATATTAATTGTCTTCATAACAAAATATATTTCTGTCTGATGAATAAGTATTAAATATTGAATTGTTTGATTTGTAATTAAGACATTATGTAAATAATTAGATCAATAAGATCATAACTGTATACGTTCAAAATGTATAATACTCATTTATTCTTAATTCAAATATCGATTAAATTAAAAATATTGATCAGTATGCAAGTAACTCTTTGATTATCTTGAAAACTGTCATTATCTGCAAATGTATTCATTTCGATACTAATCAATTTGTTTGTATAATTAAATTTATTATTTCTTCTCTTCTATTATTTATTTATTGTTATATACTTTTGACAAAGATTTATAATCGTAAATCAAATAAACGTCTATGTTATGTAAACCATATTGTTTGACTTCGTACTTGACAATTCTATAGAAATATTTTGAACGATACTATATATAAATATTATTATCAATGGTTTATTAGCTTGTTTAACGTCATTCAAGTTTTTTTAGTACATCAATATGCTGTAAGTAATACGAAATATTGAAATATATCAATATTACATTGAAAAGATGTTTTTTGTTTTTCTCTCTTAATAATTATAGAATCCGAAAATTATAAAACAATCGAAAAAAATGCAATAGATTTCAATACATTCCTCATTTGTTGATTGTCAAAAAGCGTTTAACGATATTTTTTTTTGTCTAATTAAACTTCAAAAAGATTAGATAGGGAATGAAAACTAGATTAAAGAACCTAATTGAGGTGACATCGTCTAGGCTTCAATCATATTTCTAAATTTAGCTGTAATTACTCATGTTCTCTTTGTTTAGCGTTTTATTTAATATTAATGGTAGATGCACTTCTCAATGATGACATCTATATTAAGTCTTAGCGGAATAAATAAATTTCAAGGATTTATATATAATACAATGTTGAATCGAAAAAAAACATTATTAATAATATGCTTATTGTGAACAAGTGTCATTTTCTACATTTTCTTGTCATTGTTAATAATCATTATGGTAAAAATTATAGAGGGCTTCAAAAATAAAATATTTTCGATTAAAAAGCATGCTTACAAAAAATTTGTCAAGTAGAAAAAATATATCATTCGATTCTAAACTAAATTAAAAAAATTTCTGTATATAAATTGAAGCATGAAAATACTTTTTTGTAAAATAATATTCAAGTGCATAAATGACGATACTATCTTCCAATAGAAGATGCGTTTAGTTAACATCTGATGGTAGTAGACCATTTATATGTAGGTCATGAAGTGGTAGAACAAATTATTTTCTGAGGAAAATATATGTGTCTGATTGCTATATCTAAGAAAAAATTCTTATGTGTGTTTCTACATAGTTGCTAGATATACTTTACTTTTAAACTATTCCAGACTTTTGTTGTATTTTCCTATGAAAACTGTCATGGTTTAGCATGCAAATTTTCTCTAACAATAGTCATATATACACTTGTATATAAAAAAAATAAAATAAAAAATGTACCTGTACGACCTAATATGCGTGAATAATCGAATATAGTAGTCTTTGATACGCTCAGGCACATGTAATATCACACCGACTCGTATTAATGTAGATAGCTCTATCGTATTATTAGACGCATCTGTTTTTAGTCGAGACTGACTTCGATTCATGCTATAATATTTGTTCTTGCGATTTATTTCGAACTATTTATATCATTAGATGAAATGAATAATAGACAGACACATCAATTTTCATCATACATTCACTTACGTATATATTATAT